AGGCAAGTGGCGGATGCAACTGTCAAGGGGATCCCCTGGTCGAGAAGTGGTGCTAGGGTTTCTCTGGCTTGTGGGTCCATTCAAGGGAGGGGAATAGGGAGCCCGTTGATTGTGCTGCCCTTGGGCCCAGAATTCCTGTCTGCAGGCCTGCTTAGCATAGAATACTGGAACTGGAAGGGACCTCGAAAGGTCATCAAGTCCAGTCTCCTGCCCTCAAAGCAGGACCAAGCACCATCTAGACCATCCCTGATAGGTGTCTGTCTAACCTGCTCTTAAATATCTCCAGAGATAGGGATTCCACAACCTCCCTAGGCCACTTATTCCAGTGTTTCACCACCCTGACAGTTAGGAAGTTTTTCCTAGTGTCCAACCTAAACCTCCTTTGCTGCAGTTTAAGCCCGTTGCTTCTTTTCCTATCATCAGAGGCCAAGGAGAACAATTTTCCCCCTCCTCCCTGTGATACCCTTTTAGGTATCTGAAAACCGCTGTCATGTCCCCTCTCAGTCTTCTCTTTTCCAGACTAATCAAGCCCAGTTCCTTCAGCGTTGCCACATAGCTCATGTTTTCTAGACCTTTAATCTTTTTTTTTCTCTTCTCTGGACCCTCTCCAATTTCTCCACAGTTGAGGCCTAATCATTGCAGAGTAGAGTGGAAGAATTACTTCTCGTGTCTTGCTCATGACACTTCTGTTAATGTCGGATCTCAGAAGCAAAGCCATGTTGCAACTGGTGAATGTTTGGTTGGGAGGTTGCTAGGAGAGTCACATTTACTGGACAGAAATTTGATTGGATTTCCCCCAATACCTGCATAATAAAAATAGAGCTGTTTGTATGGAAGCAGAATGGAGCACATCACAGCAAGCTACAGCTGTGGTATCAGCCACAGCAAAGGTGGAAGGAACGGCCAAATCCCAGGAAGAATGGTTGGATGCAAGGGCAAATTTTCCTCAGCGTCTGAGGGCAGAATGGTGGCCTGAGCGAGTCAGTTGCTGTTCTGGCCCTTTGCTACTTCAACTTCCATCATTGGAATAAGTTCCCAATGCCTTATACCCGTTGGGGGTCAGCTGAGTCAATCACACACTCTCTTTTCTGTCTCTCGATCCAAACACCAGTGTGTGCTCCTCTCCTTCCCCTTCTGCTGGCAAAGACTCCCACTATGCAAGGGGAATGCTTAAGGCCACTTCATACTATGTCAGAAAGTGTCTTTGCAGACCAAAGAATCCAGTTGGAGGGACACTGGAAATAGCCCGTTTTTGTTGCAAACAGTGACCCAGCTTGCAACCAGGGCCAGTTTATGACATTCTGAGGACCTCAGCTATGTCACGTGTACGAGATCCCATACTATAAAAATGAATGTATTATTTTCACAGAAAGAATATCAAATATATAAAAACAAAACTATATTCTCATAGAAAAACAAAAGAGAATATATCATTTGTTTTACATCATGAATAAGAAGAATTACCCAACATTAACGTTTGATTAATTTTGTTAGGGAAATACAAAGTTTATCCAGACTATATATAAAATATATTTACAAATGTTTATTCTGATTTAATTTGAAACAATTAATTATTCAAATTTTTCTTTTGCCATATTCATCCTTGACAGATGTTTTGTCAAAGCTAATCTCGAAAACCTCCAATAATGGGGAATCCACAACCTCCTTTGGTAACTGCTAAAAATACAGTGAGGGTTCCCAAAACCAATGGAGGAAGCCAACACAAATTAATCCTCCTCAAGATCCACTCAACCCAAGATGATCACCTGCAAACTCAATCATAGGAAGCATGGATAGTGCAGAAAGCGGTGTACATACACTTAAATATACAATCGTATGTGTATACAGATCAAAAGAAGAAAACACACTAACACTTCAGAAAATGAAAAACAGGAGTGAAGACTCTATATGACTGAATGTGCTGGACCACAAACAAGATGGCGGCCTTCCAGTTATTACCAGCCAAGAGAGGCAGTTTACATGAAGTCACTCCTAGGGCGAGTCCCATACAAGTATGAGCTTGACAGATCTGCTTGACAACGCTTCCGTCTTCAACCTCACATTTTCCCCAGTTTTGTCAGCAATGAGATTATTAATTTGTTTAAATAAACTATGAAGGCATGGCCAGAATTCTACTATAGCAGCTGGCCAAGAAAATGCTGCCTTTGGAGACAGATAGCAAACTTATAATATGGAGACATACCTATCTCATAGAACTGGAAGGGACCTTGAAAGGTCATTGAGCGCAGTCCTCTACCTTCAGGGGCGGCCCTAGACTAGCTGCCAGCAACAAGCACCCTAGGCGAACAATGCAATCGACGCCCCCACCCCCAAACCCCAAGGGCAGATCTAGGCTGAGGTTTTTGGTAAACTGAGAAACATTTTGCCCCTATTTTGCGTTTAATGTTTCTTAAGTGTATTTATTTAAACAGACATAATTATTTGGTTTCTCCATCCGTCCAACCAATGTTTCTGAGATCAGATTAAAATAGAGACAAGAAATTTTCAGAATAGATTTGTACATGACAGCTAGATAATATTTCAGTCTGATTTCAAATAAAAATGCATTAAAAATGTTAATATAATTTTTATTATTACAAATCCAAAATAGTCCATTACGCTATCCTGTTTTAACTGCCATTACCACCATACGAATATAGAAAGAACTAAGAAAACTCTTCAATGAACTTTAACCTGTAATTACAAAATACTCCAAATAAAAAACACTCTGTGCTATTAAAACATGACTTTTCTTGCTTTACGTTTTGAAAACTCAGTCACTAGTTCTTTTAGAACCAGTTTTCAAGCTATTTCATGTTCTATTGACATTGTGGCAAGTCCAACAAGTCTCTCTTGCACCACTGTCAAACGCAGATATGTTTTTATTAATTTTAACTTGTTTCATGATCAGTTATTTTACCTACATGCTCCTTTATGACTGGATCAAACATAGCTAGGAATTCAACAAATTTTTAAAAGTTTCCATTACCTGGAGTGTATAATTTTTCATTTCTACCACAGCCACAGAAAGGATATTGCTATATTTTGCTCACTGAGAACTCTCACTAAAGCAATCAGACGCTCTAATATTTGTCACCAATATTCTTCTTTTCCCTTGATCACACGTAAATTTTCTTTGACAGTTTTTCCTTTTTTCAATTGTAATTCAAGTTCTCTCCAATTTTGAAAACATTCAAAATGTTCTTTACTTCTTTCATGTGAAGAGAGAATTGATTATATGTTTTTCCAGTCCTTCGAACCATTTTCAGTAAGTGATGTACCAATTGCTTGATTTCTAAACAACTTGCAGCAAAAGCAAAACATAGTCCTTCGACACTGAATATAGTAACCAGTTTCGATTAATTTCTTCCCCCTTAATGAGTGAGCAGAGAATATTCTTTTATTTCCATTCTTAGGGAAGGGAAATTCATTAACTTGTTTGGGTCCATGTTCCACAAGAATTTGCCGCACACTGTCATCACATCTTGGCCATGAAGCTGGGTCCCCATAGTTTAACTTGTTTGTAACTTCCTCATTCTTTATTCCTTCTACTTCATTTACTATGATTTCTGCATTTGTCTCTGAAGGATAATAAATTTTCTCTACTTCCATCAGTCTGATGCTGTGAGCTGCCTTCATCTAGAAGTAGGTTTCCATTATCTTGAGTTTCCAAACAGCTTTTTTGTGGATGTGAGGTACTGTCGAAGCAAAAGCCTCACTCAGTTTACGCGGCTAAACAGACAGTTTTATTGGCCAATAAAAGCAAAGTGAGCCAAACGTGGTTCTAGCAAAGCCAGGCCCAGTAAGGCTGGCTAATACAATTAATTCTAGTGTTTTATACCCTTAACCAAACAAGTCTGACGTCAGGGCAAGAAATCAAAGCGAACTTCAAAGAGGAATTATTATCAGCAGAGAAAGAAACAGGTTTAGAGGGAGTTCGAGCTTCAGCTTAAAATAGTTCATTAACACATTCCAACAGCGCATCCTTCTGGCCTCTTCCCACCTCGGTGAAGGCCAGTTCACTCCCTCTAGTATACGTGCAGACACAAGAAACTGAAATGGCTTTTGTTATATAGAATGGCTTCTAGCTAAATATGAAATGGTTTCTACAGTACCCTCATCTCAAAGTAATATTCCTTCATATTCCAAACTGCTTACATGAGGATATGAGCTAACCTCTCCAAGTAAAAATTCCTTCATCTGGATGCTGTGAACTGCTTCCCCCTTTATTTGGATTAAAGAAAAGATATTTCAGGAAGGATCCCTGTTGTTTTGCTTCATCCTTTTCCTTCTCAGCCTTTTGTTTACGATACACAGCTCCTGAGGGCTTTCTTTTCCCTCCTTATGCCATGGGCAATCTTGATGATAGATCACTTGATGAAAAAAACACACAGGAAAAACACACAAAAGTAACAACTTACATGCTTAATTTTTGGCCCAAACTGTTGACAGCACTCAGAGTGAATTAGTTGCCGGCACTGCGTCAGCAGCGTCAGGCGTTACGGGAGGGGGAAGTGGCAGGGAGAGAGGGAAAGGGGGGATATTGGGAGTTGGCAAGAAACAAATGAAACTTGTGGCAAGGACAGGAGGAAGTGTATTTTTTTCCTTGAATTTGGCACCCCAGGTGACTGCCGAGTTCACCTACATGGATAGGCTGCCCCTGTCTGCCTTCACAGCAGGACCAAGGACCATCCCTGGCAGATTTGCTCTAGATCCCTAAGTGCCCCCCCAAGGATTGAACTCACAACACTGGGTTTAGTAGGCAAATGCTCAAACCACTGAGATTTCCCTCCCGCCATACTTCATTGTATAAATCCTAATTTTACAAGTGCAATGATCATTTCAGCCAGTCGCCCCATTCACCAGCGGTTCGCACATGCGCAGTGCAGGTCTGGTGAGTGGTTTTCACCGTGGTTTGTCAAGCCCTGTGTGTGTGTGTGTGTGTGTGTGTGTGTATATATATATATATATATATATATATATCCTATTTTAACTAAAATGTCTGTATTTGGAGATAATTTTCTTTTTCCCATATCCCCATTATTTATCAACTGACTTCAATAAAATTTGAAATTGAGTCAGTTTTTGTTTGGTGGCCCCTCATATTGTGAGGCTGTAAACAGTCACTTAGTTATGCCTTAATCTGGCACATACTTTCAGTCTTCTGTTGTCAGCGGCACAGACTGTTCACTGCTTCGCCATCTCCTTGCGCAAGGACAAAGCCTTCATCCTTTTTGTGGGTTTCAAGCAATAAGAATTTGCCCTGAGTTAAAACAAGTCCAGATTTTGACCCATTGGAAAATATTTCCAAGTACATTAAAAGGAACCCGAGATGTGCTCCAGAGTGACTGCTTAAACTGGCCCCGCATCTGTACACTGATACCACAGCACACTTAAATAGTTAATCTGAGGGAGGGAAAAATGCCAGTCGCCCAACACAGGAACAGCTGTGAACACCTGACAGCTCTGAGTTGCACAATCTTCTCCAAGCAAACTAGCAAAGCAGAAATGTCGTTCCCTGTCTTTTTGCTGCTGATCTTTCTCTTAAAGTCCAATCTGTCAAAAAGTGAGGCTGATTCAAGGAGCATTATCATTTCTGCTCTTGAAAATGCAACTGTCTTCCTGGAAAATAAACAAAGGGACATCAATTTAGACGGAGTGTTTGGATTTCATATTTTGCAAGGTACTGTAACTCAATTGTTTTTTAAAATGTCATAGTAGCCGGATATGAAACTCTCCTGTTTAAAATAACTGTTCTTATTAACGAACCTTAGTTCCTAATAGCACCATGAAAGGTCTCTCTGTTTATACATTTACACCTGTTTAAATTATTTGGAATGGCTAGTTTCTCAAATTAAAAAAAAGCAGAAGTGCTCTAGATGCCCTTTTGCATCAAGCTGATATCATCAGAGAAGCACAGAGGGTCATTTTTAAAAAGCAACGCATAGAATGTTTTTGTTGTTTGCGGGGGACATAGAGTGAAATATGCAGAAGAAAGAATATTTCATCCACTCGATGATGCTCAATATTGTATTTATTTGGCAAGACCCACAGAGATGAGCCAAAGGTGGATGAACATGATCTATGTGCTTCCCAGATTCTAGGGCTAAGGCGGATTGGAGCTGCTTTGTTAGTACTCTGTATTGTATCCAGCTACAATGCCTCCCCATGACCTGCCATTGCTGGTGGCTGGGTCTCAGAGCCCATAATACTCTGGCTATCACCCACTTGCCCATGGTTAGGAAGGATGAGTCTGGAGAAGTTGTAGAGCCATCTATGCTGGCTTACTCCAGGCTGCCAATATGGAGGAGGCATTTTCAGGTAGGCGGCTAACCTGTCTGACTACGTCTCTGCAGTGTGCCTGTAGGAATGTGCCAACCGTCTTCTGCAAGGGAGACTAGGATCTTGGTCCATACTTTGAGTCAGATTTTGCATTCATACTAGCATAAATCAGGATTAATTCTACAGAAGTCAATAGAGTTATCCAGGTGTGAGATCTGAATCTGTTTTATAATTTGGGCATGGACAGAGCTCAACAGCAAACCAGCCATAGTATTTGCATTTCTACAGTGCACAGTTATTTTGGAATAAGATATTCCAGGATAGTTATTCCGAAATAGTTTATTTTGAAATAGCATGTCTACGCTGCAGGGAAGCCTCAAAATTAGTCCAAGGCAGGCTTCCCTAATGTAGACGTGCTATCTCGATTTAGAGCCCCAGGAGGAATAACTTAGAATGGCCCTGGTGAGGGGCTATTTCGAAATAGCAGAAGTGGAGCATCTACACATGCCTTGTTTCGAAATAGCTTTCTCGGAAGAGGCATTATTCTTCGTAGAATGAGATTTACAGAAGTCGGAATAAGCCGCCCATTATTTCAAAATTATTTTGAAATAACAGAATTGCTGTGTAGTTGCTTGCATAGTTATTTTGGAATAATGGCTGTTATTCTGAAATAACTTGGCTGTGTAGACGCACACCAATGTTGCACTTGCTGATTTCATGTTTGTTTGCTTTAATCTGTTTTCAACCAGTAACATGTGAAATAGCTGCAGTGCTGTTGGCAGGATGAATATTTTGGAGGGGTTGGGTATGTGTGTATCGGGGGGAAGGGTCTTGTGGATTGTTACTATGACAGCGTTTATCCTCCTAACAGAATGATAAATAACTAACAATGTTTTTCTGATGACGAGCCAGTCTTATGTCATCTCTGAACTCCACTCAGGGCTGTACGTGAACTGACACTTACACTCTGTCTGCAGAGCATGAGATGAAGAGCAGAGGTTCACAGGAAGGCAAAACATACCAGAGAGTGCCATCCGTCAGTGGTACTATGCTCTGATGTACAGAACCACTGGTTGATCGCATTAGTGGAAAAGTACCATAGTGTCTCATCAGGAGGTCCATGGTGTCTCAGTAGGAGGTCTCAGACCATAAGATGACCCCAACTAGAAGCCTATAGAATGAATCTAATGAAAATTAGGGTATGTCTACACTGCAACGTTTTTCCACAATAACGGCTGTTATTCCTGATAAACAATACTTGTGTCCACACTGCTATTGCGTTCTTTCAACAAAAAGTCAAAAGAATGGAGGGGGTTTTCTAACAGCGGTAAACCTCTTTCTACAAGGAAGAATGCCTTTTCTGAAAAAGTTTTTTCAGAAAAAGGTGTGTGTGGATGTGGAAGAAAGAGTTCTGTCGAAAAAAGAGGCCTCCAGGAAATAACACAGGTGCCCTGGTGGTGTAGGCGTGTGGACGGGGTGTGCCAGGTGTGCCCAGGCACACCCTAATGTCTCAAAAAAAAAGTGGCTTTGCGTTTTAATTTAATCGCATGATATGCTCTTTTAGTTTTAAAGTATAGATTGTTGTAGTATGCAATAAGCGCCGAATTGCGTAATATAGATGCTGTAGAAATGTATAGGAAACCCACGTTCACTCGCAGCATGCGTCCCCACTACTGCGGCACCGCATTTCCTTGGTCCTCCCCTCCCCCTCCAACTACTATTCTAGAAAATTCTTTGACCTATATAAGTGGCCATGTCAGGCGTTCCCAGTGCAGTGTCTACAGTGTTTGTAATCTTTGTCACGTGTACTCTACTGAAATAGCATAACAAGCCCGTGGCTTTACGTTTTAATTCAGTCGTATGATACCCTCTTTTAATTTTAAAATATGGATCAGTTCATTGTTAAGATCAGAAAAGGAGGAGACAAACTGAATTATAATGAATGTGCTGATAGTAGTACAAATATCTCAGACTCCCGGTTAAGAACTTACATGAAGATAATGCCACCACCAGTTCCAGTGCGTGCAATAAACTGAGTAATGACCAACAGAAACAGACTTTGTCTCTTAGTTCAGGTCAGTGTAGTTCCTATTCAAAGCCATCAAACATTCCATCTGATGACCTGGTCTGTGATATTCCAAAAAATAGATTAGAACGCCAGTCTCGATTATCTAGAGGTCCTTATCAGCCTAGATTGAGCATGTTTCCTAGAAGTAAAATAGGGAATAAACAAAGAAGTTTTCAGTCCGATTGGTATGAAAAGTATAGGTGGTTAGAATATAGCCCATCAAAGGATGCAGCATTTTGCTTTTACTGCTGTTTCTTCTCCTCTAATGATGCAGCAAACAAAGGTCACACTGATCCAGCATTTATTGATAAGGGATTCAGAAACTGGCATAGGGCTAACGAACGTTTTAAAAACCACCAACTGTCAAAATCTCATGTGTTGAGCTGTTCTTCATGGTCAAGTTTTAATGAAGGGAAACCTATTGATGTATTGTTGGATGAGGGCAAGCAGGCTTATCTGTCTGAACAAGAAGAACGGTGCTATAACCAAAGTGTAATGGAGCGACTGATTGACATTGTTCTGTGTTTGGCGAAAGGTAGGAGACCATTCAGGGGTCACAATGAAAAAGCTGACAGTTTTGAGAAAGGTTTATTTCTAAATCTTGTCAATGTGCTCCAAAAATATGATCCCATAATGGCAAAGCATGTGCAATAATCTCCTCGAAATGCTTCCTATCTGAGTAATTGCATTCAAAATGATTTAACCGTGGCCTTGCACAACGTTGTGCAACAAAAGATTGTGTCTTCACTAAATGGAGAAATGGTCTCAATAATTGCCAGCGATCTACTTACTGTGGACACCATGAACAGATGTCCATTGTGGTGCGGTATTTTGACAATGAAAAACATAGTCCAGTTGGACATTTTGTGTCTGTTCAGAGACTAACAACAGTTGATTCTCAGTCTATTTTTGACCCGTTAAATGACGTCCTTGGCATTCTTAAAATTGACGGGTCATCAGTGAGATCTGTCTGTTTTGATGGCGCATCTACTGTTCGGAAGTTCAAATGAAATGTAAAGAAAGAAACAGTGAAATACTCTATGTACACTGCTATGCTCATTGGTTGAACCTCATCCTAATAGATGCATGCACTTCAAGTAAACAAAACAGAGCTGTCTTTGATTTTTTTGGTGTTATTCAGACTCTTTATGCCTTTATGGAGGGGAGTCCTGTGCGACATGCAGTAATGGAGAAGATTTCACAAGAAGTAGGATCCCAGTTGAAGACTTTGAAGTCAATATCAAACACAAGATGGGCATACAGAGCAGAAGTAGTGGCTGCTGTAAAACAAAACTACTCCATTTTACAAGCTTTACAAGAGATTATCGAAACAACTCACCTTTCTGACACTAAAATAAAAACCGGGGCCTTATCCATGAACTAAATTCATTCAAGTTCATCTTTGCCCTTCACATGATGCACCCTAGTCTCCAGATGGTGGTAAAAGTGAGTAAGACTCTTCAAGCTCCAGATCTCAACTTACTACAATGACAGAGGTGAAAAACTTGTATAACTCTTTGGCTGCATTGAGAAGTAGCCCAGAATATTTTCAATCTATTTTCAATGACAGTGTGAAAATGTGTGTAGAGAATGATATGTCAATTCCCCTAGTTAGGAAGAGAAAAACGTCCACTCGTATTGATGACACATTTGAGTCCCAGCATCACTTAGATACAAAAGAGGAGCAGGAGAGAATAACTTCATTTTACCCACTCCTAGACTCATTGATTACTGGCATTGACCAGCGATTTGAACAGGAGACTTGTAAAATTGTGACTGCAATGGGAAAACTACTGAGCTTAGACATTGGCAGGGACAATATGAGAATTATTGCCAACAAATTTAAAGCATCCTTGGATGAGTTGGAAGCTGAAGTCGGATTGCTTCAGGGTTACGACGGATCTGTTCCTAAAGGTAGCACTACGAACACCACCAGAGAGTGGCTTGATTAGCTAAAGAAATCGGATCGGTCTTCCATGTTCCAGGCCTTTTACAAATCTATTCAATGCTTTGTAGTCTTACCTGTTACAAGCTGTTCATGTGAAAGAGCCTTTTCGAAACTAGTATATGTAAAAAACAAACAAAGAAGTACAATGTCCCAACAGCGCCTCAACTCACTCATGATTTTGTACATTGAACAAGAATTGGCTTTGTCAGTTTATTACAATGATGTGATTGAGGAATTTAAGTCCATAACACCTGGTGTGCAACGTCTCATTCTCTAGGACAGGAAGATGAAGAAACCTTAATCTGTTTTAGTCAGTTTGGGTTAGCTCATTATCTGGTTAAAGATAAAGATCATGAAAATTGAGTGAATCTTTGTATACGCCTGG